GTTCCATGGAAGAAAAGACCTTTCAAACTGCTTCCTGAAATTTTCAGCTGAGAAAACCGTGTAGAACAGGTATGCTCTGCATACATGGGGTTGTTTTGAGTCTGGGTTCTACAGTGTTCTTCACTGTAGATCCATCCCAGGCACACCTTTGAGAAAAGTGCCTGTCTTTTCCTGCCTCTCTCTGGAAGACAGCTTACTCAAGTAACTTTGGCTTTGGTAACAGGATAGCATACCTCCAATAGGATAAAGTAGTATGCAGAACTTCACTGGAGTCTTGGGGTGACATCTTTGGGGAAATGGCCCATGCCTAGGAAGCAGAGCAGAATTGTTCTCAAAGACTACAGGTTGTGGTGGTGGGGCCTGCTGCTGCTTCTTCAAGGAGCTTCTGAAGGACCTCCAATTTATGCGGTGAGTGGCCCCCCCAACATCACCATTTCCCCCCAGCAGGCAGCCTTGGCAAATGCTGAAATACCCTGTATCTGGAGTATCCTTGATATTAACACCATGTTCCAGCAGTCCTCAGGGAGGGGGAGGGGCGACTCTTCAGTTCCCACATGTGAAAGGTGAGGATGGTGGCAGCTGAGGGTCTCCAAATCCTACCGTCCTCAGCAGCAAGGACTCGCGGACTTCTAGTTTTATTTTTCAAAAGGAAGAAGTTCTATCTCTGGCTTCTACTCTAAAAGAGGACCTCTGTTCCTTCTCCCTTTGAGACAAAATCATCAAGGTGTTGTCACCGGACAAGCCTGAGACGAGTGGGTTATTATAGAACAGAAGGGAAGTGTTTGAGAACATGCGAACCCTCTACCAGCAATCAGAGAAATCTAAAAGCAGAGAGTAAGAAAGAAAAGGAGCCCTTTTAATACTTAACTTGGATTGATAGACTTGTTGCATTAATTAAAAGCGATGAATAAACTTGTATAAGAAACCCCGGAGGCGCAGTGGATTATGCATTGGGCTGCTAACCACAAGGCCAGCAGTTCAAATCCACCTTGGGAGATGAGGCTTTCTGCTCTAGTAAAGATTTACAGCCTCAGAAACCTTATACAGGGTCATCATCAGTCGAAACTGACTACAAACGCACTACTACCTCCACTAAATTTGTGCAGATTTTAAAAGTGGGGTAGATGAATTTTAGGCAGATAACCAGTAACCAACTGCTGTTTGGTCCATTCCAACTCATGTTGTTGTTAAGTGCCATCGAGTCGGTTCTGACTCATAGCAACCTCTGTATAGGATTTCCTAGAAGCAGCCGGTGAGTTAGCACCGCCAACTTTGTGGTTCAAAACCAACCTTGAGGTTAAGTACTTTAAAATTTCAAGTAGATTTTCTGTTAGAAAGTATAAACCTATAAAGCCATCTGGGACAGGGACTAGAGCTTTAGTTTTACTGTTTGAAGTGTGATGTGTCATGCCACATATGTTAATGAGGGGGGTTGTATACTGTCTAGTCAGTGCTGACTCATAGTGACCCTGTATAGGGTTTCTGAGGCTGTAAATCTTTATGGGGGCAGAAAACCTCATTGTTCTCCCATGTAGTGGCTGGTGGACTGGAACTGCTGATGTCAAGGCTAACAGCCTACTTCACTCACTCTGCCACCAGGGCTCCTTTCACATATATTATAAAGTTTGAAATAGCTCAGGAGCAGCATCACCTGGGAGCTTGGTAACAGACCTACAGAACCAGAATCTACGTTTAGCAAGCTCCCCAGGTGACTCCTGTGCCCATTAAAGATTGGGATTCAAACTTAGGGTTTCTCTTTCTGTGTGACCTTTGTCAGATTACTTAACCACTCTGAGCTTCCTTTTCCTTCTTCATACACTAGTGAGAATTACTGTTGGCACATGTGCATTGCTTAGTATTAGTACCATGACCATAGTTGTTGTTGTTGTTGAGTGCCGAGTCTATAGTTGTTGTTGTTATGTGCCACGGAGTCAGTTCCAACTCATAGCAACCCTGTACAGGTTTTCCGAGGCTGTAAATCTTTATGGGAGCAGAAAGCCTCATCTTTCTCCCACAGAACAGCTGGTAGTTTCGAACTGCTGACCCTGAGGTTCTCAGCCCGATTTGTAACCACTACGCTACCAGAGTCTATAGTAGGTGCTCTGTAAATGGAAGCGAGGATAATGATGATGAGGATGATTCCAGCATTGCCACAGTTACTCACTTCCTAGCACAAGAAGTAAGCATTAATATTTAAATGAAGATGGCTGGATTTCCCCCTTCACCACCAACATTCTCATCTCCCGCACTCCCACACTAGTTCCTAAAAAAATTAACATCAAACTCAGGCGTTTTGAAGCATCAGATGACTATCACTCACATATAAATAAAGAATACTGGGGAGACCTAGGAATGTGGGGTGTTTTTTTTTTGTTTTTTTTTTCCCCTGGCTTTGAGGCGGCATTCAGCTGCCTGATGACTTCACAGCTGTTCCTGCCGCCCTGGAGTGCCTGTCCCCCCTGGGCTCAGTCTCTTCAGCTGGGTCTGCTTCTGAAAATGCCTGATGGCGGGAGGAAGATCTGGAGGTTAGCTGGGAAAAAATGAGTAATGCTAGGCAGTGTGCTTAGTCAATGCTGCAAGAGAAAGAAAAGTAAAAGCTAGGTCCCGTCTGTAGGGACTCTAAAACGATCCTGCCTTATCATGTCACCGAGCAGAGCTGGGAAAGCCAAAACTCAGAATCTGCTGGCAAAGAAAAGTAAGAAGGGGGGAAAAAAAATGACAGGGAGGGACAAACCGGAGGGGGAGGGAATAAAAAGAGAGGGAGGAAAAGACAAGCGTCATTTAGAAACAGAGGCAGAGAGGAAGAAGATAGAGCCCCAGGATCTAAACTAAAGCAGATAATAAAGTGTTTTTCTCTCTTTTCTTTCCCCCAGAGGAGATCCCTGTCCTGTTACTTATATTGGCAGAAGTACTGTTACAGGCTCTTTCCCAGAGGTTGACCGAAGAAGCTCCAGAGTTGCTGTTGATTTCCTCACTAAACCAATTGGTTTCCCTGGTAATGGATGGCCTCTCTCTGAGGTATGTGTGAGTAATTTGGAGACCCAACTTCGTTTTGGGGTTAGATCAAGTCTTAGTGTTGTGGTGAAGATTCTTTTTCAGGCATAATCTCAAATATCCTTTTATTAGCCACGCCAGTATTCCCTGTATTATTCAACAGCAGTGATTAAGTGATTTGGTGGCTAACAATGACATGCAGATAGGCAGTTTTCACAGTGATAAAGTGGTTTGGTGGCTAACAATGACATGCATATAGGCAGTTCTCACATTGTGGTATTTTGACCTCCCCAGCAAGAAAGAGGCAGTGAGGGTGGATTGAGGCTACATTTGTTTGCAGTGGATGTTTCAAATGTTAGGGATATTAATCTAAGTGAAATGGTCTTGTATAGTTTTAACTCTTTGGGTAACTACAATTGCTCAGTATGTTTCTGAGCAGCTAGGGTGTTTTTCCAGGGTAGAGGAGAGGTTTCACTAATTTCTCACAGACAGCATTCCAAACAAATGCTTTGGGATGAGAGGCTCAGGTGTATCCTGAAATACTCATTTTAGGAATATTTGGAAAGGAACATCACAGCAAGTTTTACGCACAAGAAGGATATGTGGGAGTGTTAAGAGGGGGAGGAATCTGTCAAATTTTAATGAAAATTGAGCATGCTCATTTTTTAGTACCCCTGATATCAGAATTATTTTATTGAGTTCAATAGAAAGTTTATGAATTGACAGCTAATACGTGGGGGCTTCAAAAGTTCATGGAAAAATGGAATAAAACGTTAATGGCATTCTCCCAACCCACTTTTTGAAGCTTCCATATACTCAAGCTAAGAACTGATAGTAAGCTCTTCAATGGTAGGCACAACATTATCTCCTACCAACCTCTTGCATCTTCATTTCTTTTTCCTTTTTCAAATGGATAAGAGGATGTTGCCACATTTTAGGTCACAAATCTGAGCCTTGTTGCCACTCAGTTTGTACTGAACTTCTCCCGCCCCCATTAGGGAAGTAAAAAGGTCCCAGGGAGTTTGTTTCATAGTAACACTATAAAGACACTGCCAGTTGTACCCTGGCTGCTTGTTTGGACATTGATTTCGGAGGCAGTGAATGAGTAATCGCTTGGAAAGAATGCACATGATACACAGCAACATTGGCAGAGTCATAAGTTGCTATGAGGTGTGAAACTGACTACCCAAAGTATTGTTTACAGCATACTCTCTTCTTGAATGAAGCTGTCTTTGGTTTGGGATCCAGGCTTTTCTATGCGTTTAGTGGTAAGAGAAGCGTTATCAAAGCTTGTAAAATAGTTGTAGACTACAAGGGTATAGTAAATAATGTAAAGTACTCCCTGGTTTTTATATCTTCCCTTTATATTTATCAACCTTATCTTTTCATCCAGTGCAATAAGAATGCAACCAATTGGGGTGGAGGAGTTGATTTTTCTGGAAGAGAATCTGGTGGTGTTTCCCCAGCCCATGGGTTGCATGAGTTGGGGTCAATTCCACAGTTGCTGTTTAGGAGTCTCTGCGTGGCACAGATGGTTAACATACTCTACTGCTAACCGAAAGTTGGCATGCACCCAGAGATGCATTGGAAGAAAGACCTGGTGATGTAGTTCTGAAAAATCAGGAACTGAAGACACAGGGAGGAGAGTCCGAGTTAAAATGAATAGATGTAAATATCGTTAACTGATGGTACATGGAGGGGATTGCAATCACTGCAATGATAGCGTGTTGATAGGATTTTTTGAATGTGGAACTGATGTTCTGCTCTGTAAACCTTCACAATAAAAAGTTAAATAAAAAGAAAAACACTATGGAGCACATTTCTACTCAGACACACATGAAGTCATAATGCGTTGGACTTGACTCAGGGGTAAGCACTTTTCACTCCCACCTACATTATGCATCCTGATCCACTGAGCCTCTCTCTGGCTTCTTCTCCACAGCTTTCACCTGGGTGATGTCCTCCTGATCTAGTCTCTGAACCCCACTAGGAAACTGCTATAAAACATGACTGAAGAGCCCATAAAGGAGATGCTGGGAACCTCAAAGCCTCCCAAGCCAGTGTCAACGGAGAAAAGCTCCAACAAAGAAGTGGTGATCACTATGGTCCCCCTGGTCAGTGAGATTCAGCTGACGGCGGCTACAGGGGGCGCCGAGCTCTCCTGCTACCGCTGTATCATCCCGTTCGCTGTGGTGGTCCTCATTGCAGGCATAGTGGTCACTGCTGTGGCTTACAGCTTCAACTCCCATGGCTCCATCATCTCCATCTTCGGCCTGTCCCTGCTGTCATTTGGACTGTTTTTGCTAGCCTCCAGCGCCTTGTGCTGGAAGGTGAGACAAAGGAGCAAGAAAGCCAAAAGACGGGAGAGTCAGACGGCTCTCATGGCAAATCAGAGAAGCCTGTTTGCTTAGACTGAGAGTGACCAAATGGGGTGGGTGGCTTGACCCAGGACCAGTGTATGCGCTCATGGACTTGGCAGTGGACTAGAAGAATGGGGTGAAATCGAGGGGGTTCTCCCTTTTATAGATTGACTTGCGTATACTTTAATGACAAACTTAATCTTAAGGGCTATTTCTAAGACTGGAAAATTAGCTTTCTCTTGATATTAAATATTTGGGGGGTGGTATGAGAGATCACAGTATTAGGCAACACTTAGTTAACATGGAAAGTAGCCAAGAAAAGATCAGAACATAAGCAGACAGTCTTGGCATACCAGAGACCTGTCTTCAGAAAAGATCACCTACACTCTTGAGAAATGGTATCATCAAATACTCTGTTGAAGGTCAAAATTGCCTTGGACTTTGCATATGTCTTTCAGATTCTGTGATCACTTTTTTCCCCCAATAAGTTGATTCTCTGGCATTTGTTTTTATGTTTCACTTTCAGTAACTCATCAATGGTGGTACTTTTCCTTGATGAATCAACTAATATTTTTTAATATTTTAACATTTGACAATTTTAGATTCTTGTGGCAGAAGATCTAGAAGACCATTTTAGATGATCAATGTATCAAAAGTCCAAAAAAACTAAAGGTATAGCTAAATGGTATAGCTCCCAGAGGACATGGGGAATTAAATTAATGTTAAAGTAATCTAATATAGCACTTTTGATGATTTTTATATAAAAGTTTAATGTATATTTCATTCAAAATAATAAATACTCATTGCTGCTGAAACTTCTTAAATGGTGGTTTGGTTTCAGTTATGTTTTATTGTAGATCCGAATGCCCTTCTTCTCTTACTTTGGTGGTAATACCTCAATGATATACTTATCAGATGGGCATGCAGTTGTTTCTTTTGTTGTATCATGCTTTTTTTCATGCCTTCTGGAAAATAGTACATTCTAAAGGATTTCTGGTAGCATAATGGTTACAAATCAGACTGCGAACCTCAGGGTCAGTAGTTCAAAACTACCAGCGATTCAGCGGGAGAAAGATGAGGCTTTCTGCTCCCATAAAGATTTACAGCCTGGGAAACCCTGTACAGGGTCGTTATGAGTCGGAACCGACTCCATGGCACATAACAACAACAACAACAACATAATTAGGAGTCCTGGTGTGGTGCTGCCAAATAATGTGCAGAACTGCAAAGTCAGTGTGAACTGCAAGGCCAGCAGTTCAAACCCACCAGCTGCTCCTCGGACACCCTATACAGGGTCCCTATGAGTCAGAACAGACTCAACAGCACTTAATAACATCAACATAATTAGGAAATCCTTTAGAATAAGTGCCTAGGATCTGGACTTTATCATAGGTATCGGGAGTCCGGGACTCCTAGTATGGCATTGTAGGATAAGCATTCCACTGCAAGGTCAGCAGTTCAGACCCACCAGGTGCTCCTTGGAAACCTTATAAAGGGTCACTATGAGTTGTAACTGACTTGACAGCACTTAACAACACTGTAGGATAAGCAATAGACTGCTAACCACAACGTCAACAATTCAAACCACCAGCCGCTCCTCAGATCTATGGTCACCATGAGTCAGAACCGACTAGCTGGCACTTTAACACACCCACACAAAGGTGTATTGTGTGTTTATTGAATCTGGCATCATCCGTTTGCTTAGGACACATTTTGAGTACCAACTGTACACCAGGCACTAGGTAGCTTCTCAGACTACTTAATTCATGTTTAATGGAGTAAAAAGTGGTTTGCGGCTTGAATTCTCTGAGTGTTGTTGTTGTTGTTGTTAAGTGCCGTCAAGTCGGTTCCAACCCATAGCGACCCTGTATAGGGTTTCCGAGGGTGTAAATCCTTACGGGAGTAGAAAGCCTCATCTTCCTCCCGCGGAGCGGCTGGTAGTTTCGAACCGCTGACCTTAAGTTTCGCAGCCCGATTCGTAACCGTACTACGCTACCAGAGCTGTTCAAAAGCTGGAACTCTATCCCATAACTCCAGCCTGATAGATCCTTGGTCCCTGTAGTTTCAGTCACATTAAGCTAGAGCCTAAGGATAGGAAGGAGCCCTGGCGTGGCACTGTGAGCTAATGCTTCAGAATGCAAAGTCGTTTGAACTGCAAGGTCAATGGTTCAAGCTCACCAGCTGCTCCTTGGAAACCCTATACAGGGTCATTATGGGTCAGAATTGATTTGATGGCACTTAACAACAAGGATAGTAAGACATAAAGCCTTTCTTAGAACTTGGCAGGGGGCAGGGGATACCTAGTGAAAAAAATCATGGAACGATGCTCTGTGCAGGAATGGAATTCAACTTGGCAAGAGCCCTCTGGCAGTTTTGGTGAGTGGAAACACCTTCCCCCTCCTTGCCTGTTCTGCCTTTGAAGGTTAGGTAGTGATCCCCTACAGGCAGTTGTTGCTAAGTGCTGTTGATATGGTTCCAACTCATAGCAACTTTGAATAGGGTTTCCAAGGAGCATCTGGTCGGTTTGAACCACTGATCTTGTGGTTTACAATCAGTGATTATCCTACAGTGCCAACCATAATTATCCGAAACTTGTGCAGATCCACACTCCTTCCAATCAAATGCAAGAAGAGCTTGGGATTGTGTTTATTTCAAAGGGAAGGAGTCCGTGCTTTGATTGACACTTTCTTCGGCTCAGAGATATGCCAAAGCTTCATTGTGTTAGAAATGTCTTAGCCAAGGGTTCAAAGGTTTCCACAATTGTATCCAAGCTGATATGTCGAGTTTTCACTCTCACTCCAAGCCTACCAGTGACTTTTGAGCCAATTCTGACTCCTGGTAACCCTGTATGTCAGAGAAGAAAAGTACTTCATAGGATTCTCAGTGGTTAATTTTGTTGGAAGGAGATTGTCAGACCTTTCTTCCAAAACACCTTGGGTGGATTCCAGCCTTTTCTTCTGTGAGTAGTTGAGTATATTAACTGTTTGTACCAGCCAAACCAACTCCAAATTCACTGCCTTCGAGTCAATTCTGACTCACAGCGACTCTCTGCAAGGTTTCTGAGACTCTAAATCTTGAAAGGAGCAGACAATCTCTTCTCCCAAGGAGTAGCCAGTGGTTTGGAACTGCTGATCTTGCAGCCCATTGCTTAACCCTTGACCCCTCAAGGGCTCCATTTGTACTACTCAGGGACTCTCATGTCAAACTTACAAACTCCTTATGAGTTAACTAGAGCAGACTGTATACCTGTCCCTGGTCAGACTTTAGTTTTCCTTCCTCCAAGTTTGTGCAAATCTCTGTTCTTCCCTCCTTAATGCCATCGTTTTCACCTTCTTCTCAATCTATCTAAATCTGGCTTCCCAGGAGAGTCTAACGCAAGTACCACCTCCTTTTGGAAACCCTTCTTTTTATCTGAATGTAACTGTTCTCTCAGGGGTCTTTAGTTAAGCTCTGATGTCACTTTTCCTTTTCTGTGAGGTTATCAAGGTGTGGCACTGTAGGATGAGCACTGGACTGCTAGCCACAAGGCACTTTGCAACAATAACAAAGCTCCTTGAACTCATGAGATGAATCTTATTCTTTAATCTCCCATGATGCTTAATGTAATGTCTTATATTAGGTAGGAGTCCTGGTGTGGCACTATGTGTTAATGAGTCAGACTGCAAAGCCATTTGAACTACAAGGTTGGTGGTTCAAGCTCGGAAACCCTATACAGGGTTGCTATGGGTCGGAATCGACTCGATGGCACTTAACAAAAACAATAAGGAGCTCTGGTAGCATAATGGTTATGAATCAGGCTGCTAACCTCAAAGTCAACAGTTTGAAACTACCAGCTGTTCCACAGGAGAAAGATGAGGCTTTCTGCTCACGTAAAGATTGACAGCCTCGGAAACCCTGTGCAGGGTCGCTATGAGTCAGAACTGACTCCAAAGCACACCACCACTAATATGTTTGTGTTAAAAGAACCAAAAAGCAAAACCAAAAAGTGAGTGGTTTATCAGAATTACAGTCTATTGGTTCTAATCTCTTCAAAGAGAATACTTTCTTTACAAAGCTTTCAAAGTAGAGTACCCCTCTTGACCCCTCCTCTATAGTATATACCAAACTTAGATGAATATTTGCCAGGGTTCCAACTGTTTCATTCTGTTTCATCCCCTACTGAGAATTTGCCTGTCTGTCTCAGATATACTGAATCAAAATCTACATTTAAACAAGATCATCAAGTGATTCTTATAGATCCCCAGGTGATTAGTATTTCTCATACATTAAGAACCACTTTGGGATCTTGCTAAAATGTTAAATATCTGGAGTGGAAATGACAATTCTCAGCAGGGAACAGAACCAGAATGAGCCAGTTCTCAAAGCTCTGGTATTTAGTACAATTGCTTGTCTTTAGGTCATTGTTGTTGTTGTTGTTAAGTGCCATCGAGTCGGTTCTGACCCATAGTCACCCTGTATGGGTTTTCCAAGGTGCAGCTGGTGAGCTTGAACCACCAAACTTGTGGTTCACACGACTTTGCAGCCTGACGCATTTGCCCACAGCGCCACACCAGGGTGGCACAAATAGTTTTCACTTGCCTACTAACCTGAAGGTTGATGATTGAACTACCCAGAGATTCCATGGAAGAAACACCTGGCAATCTGACGCCATAAAGATTGCAACCAAGAAAGACTTTGCAATAATTCTACGCTGTAACACATGGGGTTGCCGTGAATTGGAATTGACTGGAAGGCAACATATTTGGTTTGCTTGGTTGGTTGATGTGTACATCTCTTGTAATAAATGTTGTTGTTGTTGTGATCTGCTGTGGAGTCGGTCCCGACCCTGTACAGGGTTTCCGAGGCTGTAAATCTTTATGGGAGCAGAAAGCCTCATCTTTCTCCTGTGGAACAGCTGGTAGTTTCGAACTGCTGACCTTGAGGTTCGCAGCCCGATTCGTAACCACTACGCTACCAGAGCTCCTTGTAATAAATAGGCTTTTCGAAATGCTTGAAAAGTAAATTCTTGAATTGCTTCAGACCACCAGGGGGCCTCATGCTGCTACCTGAGT